TCCAAAGTTGGCAGGGCTGCGATATTTACGGGGGTCCTACCTCTTGCCTGATCGTAACCCTTCTTTTTAATGTTTTACTCCTGAAATTTTCCTTTTTTTTAATCTGCCATCTCTCGCTATCTGTAGTCGATCTGCTAATATCTGTCCTGTGCACTCTCTTCTCCCTTTCATTACTAGACACGCCCCTTATTGCTGATTGGCAGCGAGTGTGTTTTGCGACACTGTGGTCAAAAGCATTTTTCAAATATTGCTTAGTGCACCTTTAAACTTGCAGTTAATTGTGTGTTCCCATTTCAACCTCTAGCTGTCAATATTACATACTGCATCTTTTAGTAAAATAATCTGGCAAACACGATGTAAAAGGTCCTAAGCCTTACATTTTTTTTGTAATTTTAAGTTTTTGTTTCCATTTTCAGATTCGAACCCTGGCTGCACGTGCAGCTTCATCCTTCATCCTGACCAATGAGCGCAACACAGCCTTACTGAAACACATTTCAGATCTTCTTCCTGGCATCCTACAGGTGAAGAACGTCTAACCACACCTTTACTCCGTAACTTGTACACCTGCTCTTCTGAATTTATGCTTTCAGTCACTTGATGATGTTTTATGATTGAAAAGGGTGCTCACTAGTTCCCCCTCTGTGGTTGTGCTTTTAAGTGCGCCTTTTTGCCAAGTTCACACTGGAGAACCATAAGAGCCGAGGATGGCATGTATATTAACACTTGTATAGTCACCATTGCACACTTTGTCTCCAATCAGGCGGTGAATGAATCCTGTTACTGTGGTGACGACTCTGTGCTGAAGTCATTGGTGGAGGTTGCAGACACGGCCCCCAAATACTTAAGACCAAACCTGGAAGCCACTCTCCAACTGAGCCTGAAGGTGAGCCAACATATAAACTGGTTATACTTTATCTCGAGTAGTGGGGAATATTTTATTATATATGAAGACGTTACATGCAAAAAGTCCATCTGAGATTTTTCTGAGATTTTTTTCCCCCCCTTTTAAATCATTTTCCAATGATATTTTCATAGGAGCCTGATAAAGCTCATTTGAAAAAAATCTCAGATGGACACAGTATGAGAAATTGTATTTCATGATAACGATATGTATCTTGATATAGCTATTTTTATTTTATTTTTTGTTATTAAAAATAAGAAAATGTAGCAAATTACAAACACAGTAGAACAAATTAATATCAAATAATCTTTTAATTTATTCAGCTACAGTAGGTTTATTTAATATATAAAAGATATATCGGCCGATATCTGCCATTTTTCAAATATCGGCATTGGCCGATAAGTTTTTCTGTTTGGCCGATGTGTTCGAGGCGGGACTTTTATTTTGACGGCGCCGAGAACGGCTGCGGCAGCGCCTGAGCACACAGTGCTCACATTCTCCCTCTTGTTCGCTGTTGTCATTCAGTTCGGTCTAATACGGATAGAAGTCTAATAATCAGATAGAACTGTTAAACAAAGGAATTAAAATGTATAAAAATAAAAGGCAAACATTATAATACTTTCTCGTTTGCCGTCAGCATGCCGCAAATACGCATTTATATAATTTGAAACAAATCTTTGAATGACTAATGAACATTTAATTTCACAAACCTTGCATACTTAGTCGAATCTAGTTGAGATCTTGTGAAGTGTGCATGTGACCTGCATGATCGCATGTTCTGTGACGGTCGATCCTATGGTCCGTACGAATTGAATACGGACAGGAGAAATTTTTTGGTGAACTAACCCTTTAAGACCGACTGCACTGATCCAATATACTGCGACACATCCGGTTTTCACCCGACTATTTGTTTATTTAACAGATAACCAACAGTGTTTGCGTGAATACTCCACACGGCAGGCATTTTGACATAATTGTGTGCGTATTTGACCATTCAAGCACGAAAGATTTGTTTTCTCGATCGCATGATGTCTGAGAGAGGGGCTTTCAGTGTGTGCGCTTCGGCTGTGTGTCAGTGTTTCATTTTATAATATACATTTTTTTTTCATTTATACATGGCTTAAAACTAAATATTTATGTATGTGTGTGTGTGTATATGTGTGTATATATGTGTATATATATATATATATATATATAAGGGTTGAACGACTTCAGATTTTTTAAAGTCGACTTTTATGTGATGAAAGTCGAGTCGAAGTCGACTAGTTGCTGATGATGTCATTAATGAACAAATAAGTCTGGAGCTGTGATAAACACCTTGTGCATAGCTATGGCATCACAGCGCTGCCCACATGGCTATTGCTCCTATAACAGCTTTTTTGTCAGTTCTTTTGTCTTTGGGTCATTATATTTCTCACAGATTTCTGCCGTCTCTCTACTAGTAGTGAAGCTGTGGGATTTAGTTCAGAAATATATGCTTGAACTTTTCAGTCTCTAAGCTATTTTTTTGAGAAATCACAGAACAGTGTTGACAATACATTTCAGCGCTGAATGATTCTGTGCGCGCGCGCGATCTGTGCGTGATGTACGAGCTACTGTCTGTAGCCTGTGTGTGTGCAGCAGCGCATTAGATTAGAATGGCGATTAACTTACCTGTACAATAAGCCGTTTAAAACGTGCATTCTCCCGTTCAATTTCGAGCCAGTCGGTGCAACCCCTTATTTATATAATTGATCTCACAAATGTATATAATCACAAATTGATCTCTTCAATTTAATGCTTGGAAGTTGCCATTCCCGTGCACCTTCCACAGCCCGGTTGCAGAAACGTGTCATGGGCATGTAAGAATGTTGATCTTAAGACTAAAACCATGTCCTGCTTTGAAAGTGTAAATGATACACAAAGACCATGTGATATTTCATCGATTATGTCAAATGCAGAATCATGATCATTTTAGTCCATTTATATTGGGTTTTTCCTCTTCAGTTGTGCGCAGACACCAACCTTACGAACATGCAGCGGCAGCTGGCTCTGGAAGTCATCGCCACACTGTCTGAAACTGCTGCTGCCATGCTGAGGAAACACACCAACATTGTTGCTCAGAGTGGTAAGAGAGACATTTAAAGGGGTCATATGATGTGATTTCAATTTTTCCTTTCTCTTTGGAGTGTTACAAGCTCTTGGTGCATAAAGAAGATCTGTAAAGTTGCAAAGACTAAAGTCTCAAATCCAAAGAGATATTCTTTATAAAAGTTAAGAGTCAACCCCCCCCCCACATGTCTACGTCACGATGTGGGAAGATTTGCATAACAACGCCCAAATGTTCACGCAAAGAAAGAAGACCTAACTTTATTCTCGCTGTAGTTTTGTTGTTTCCGCCGCCACCATGTCGTGAAGACGCTGTGT